AGCGAGCGGGGCGCCCGGCGGCGGGCACCGCGGGGCCCCGCGGCGCCCCATGCTCTGCTCCCCCGCAGGACCTGCTGCTGGTGGACACCGAGACGGGCGCCGTCGCCAACCTCACGGCAGGTACGGGGCTGCCCGCTCGCCCGCCGGCCCCGCGGGGAGCCCCGCGAGCGGCGGTGCCCTCTTCCCCTTGCCAGGCTCGGCCCAAGGCTGCTGGGAGCTGCTCACGGTGCAGCGGGACCTGCTGGTGGCCACGTGCTCGGCGCCCAACCAGCCGCCCTGCCTGGTGAGGAGGGGCGCGGGGCGGCCAAGCGGGCATGGCACGGGGAGGCCGGGGGTGACGGGCGCATCGTGGCAGGGCAAGGCAGGGCGCGGGGCTGGCGCGGCGTGGCCCCTATGGCACAGTATGGCCCCTATGGCACAGTATGGCCCCTACGGCATGGCCCCTATGGCACAGCGTGACCCGCTATGGCATGGTATGGCCCCTATGGCACAGCGTAACATGGCACAGCACAGCTGCCATGACACAGCATGGCCCATATGGCATGGTGTGTCCCATATGGCATGGTGTGTCCCATATGGCACAGCATGGCCCATATGGCATAGCCCATATCGCGTAGCATGGCCTGTACGGCACAGCATAACTCATATGGCACGGCATGGCACGTGTGACACAGTGTGGCATAGCCCATATGGCATAGCATGGCATGGCCCCTATGGCACAGCATGGCCCCAATGGCACAGCATGGCCTCTATGGCACAGCGTGACATGGCACGGCACAGCTTCTATGGCACAGCATGGCCCATATGGCACAGCATGGCAGCATAGCCCCAATGGCACAGTGTGGCATGGCATGGCATGGCATGTATAGCACAGCATGGCCCATATGGCACAGCACGGCACAGCATGGCCCATATGGCACAACATAGCAGGGCCACCAAAGCATGGGCACGGCCTGGCACGGCAAGACGTGGCCCGGCCCGGCTCAGCACGGCGGGTAGCCCACAGTGTGATGTGTCACAGCGCGGCACAGCCGAGCATGGGGCCGGGCACGACGTGGCCAGCACAGCGGGCACGGCCGCTCGCCCCCCAAGCAGGGCAGGCAGCCGGGGCCGGGTCGGTGCCACCCTGGACCCAGCTGCACCCTGCCAGGGGTATCTGCGGCTCATCCCACGGAGCCGGTGCCCTGCGGTGTGAGCCGGTGCCCCCCTTTGCCCGCGGCAGGTGGTGGCGCTGCTGCCGCCGGCGGGCCAGGAGCCGACCCTGCAGTGGGTGCACGCGGAGGCCGTCGCGCCGGTGCCCGGCGTCTCCTGGAAAACCCTGACGCTCCAGCCGCCCCGTGAGGAGCAGAGCCCTCCTGCGCAGGGTGAGTGCCCGGTGCCCGGGTGGCATCTCGGCCTGGGCGCCGAGCGCTGCCCGCTCTGCCTCTCCGCAGGAGCCCAGCCCTTCGAGGCGCTGCTGCTGAGCCCGCCGCCCGGCGCCGCTCCGCACCCGCTGCTCGTGTGGCCCCACGGTGAGCGGGGCGCCGGGGCCGCCCGCGGGCGCTGCCCGCCGGCCCGCCCTGACGCTGTGCCCAGGGGGCCCGCACGCCGTGTTCGACGCGCGCTGGCGCCCGCCCGCCGCGGCGCTCTGCCAGCTCGGCTTCGCCGTGCTCATGGGTGAGTGCAGGACCCGGGGGCGGGCGCCCGTGCCCGCACGTGTCCGCCACGGCGCCCGTGCCCGCAGTGAACTACCGCGGCTCGCTGGGCTTCGGCCAGGCCGCCCTGGCCTCGCTGCTGGCGCGCCAGGGCGAGCAGGACGTGGCGGACACGCAGCTGGCGGCCGAGCGGGCGCTGCGCGACGAGCGGCTGGACCGGCGCCGCGTGGCGCTGCTGGGCGCCTCGCACGGCGCCTTCGTCGCCCTCCACCTGCTCGCCCGCCACCCCGAGCTGTACCGCGCCTGCGCCGTGCGCAGCCCCGTCACCGACCTGGCCACGCTGCTGGGCACCTCCG